ATTTGGAGCGTTAGATAAAACGTAAAAACAGACCGGGGAGTTTAGCTACACAGCCGTCCTCGGCGCCATCTTCCCACACCTACAGTATTCCTTGATCCAATTCAAAAGTTTCCAGACCTGGGACCATTTTCCAGCTTCACTGGACACTGTTCTCCTATTGATACAGCCTAGAATCACATTGACTTTTTTGGCTGTTGACTCATGTTCAGTTCGTAGTCTACTAAAACTCCAAAATCGCTTTCACATAGAATTGTTCTCAAGACAAGCGTCCCCACCTTATATCTGTGCATTTCATTTTTTTCTGCCAAAGAGGAGTTATTGGAGTTATGCCATTGAGTGGACCAATCATATCTGATGGAAACAGGTTTGATTTATTCGATCTGCTGCAAGACCTTCTCCAAAGTTTCTAGATCTCCTGAAGATGTAGGAAAGTGTGGCCAAGAAACAGCCTTGTGCTGAGTCTTTTGGGGGCCGTAGAAACCTTTATTTCTTTCAAGCCTTGAGAAAGGCATTATTGGGGTGGAGGAGGGTGCTTGGAACATGAAGCACAAGTTCAGGAGGATGGGGTTTGGAATATCGAATGTACCTTGGTTGCATGTGATCTGGCCACTGAATCTTGGGTTTGCATGCTCACTTCAGAAAGGAACTGATCAAGGTGCTGAAGGCCAGTCTCCAAGGAGGCTTGATCTCCTCTACCTCGCTTTCTTTTTCCTCCTTTGCTTTGGAACTTGAATGCAATTGGGACAAAACTGCCCATCCCTTTCTGTAAATAAAGAGCCTTAATGCGTAAGGCATATACGCATTAATGCGTAAGGCATATACGCTGTTTAACATCTACATGAAGCCGCTGGGCGAGATCATCCGGAGTTTCGGAGTGAGATGTCATCTGTACGCAGATGATGTCCAGCTCTGTCACTCCTTTCCACCTGCTACTAAGGAGGCTGTCGAGGTCCTGAACCGGTGCTTGGCCGCTGTGACGGTCTGGATGGGGGCGAACAAATTGAAATTGAATCCAGACAAGACAGAGGTACTCCTGGTCAGTCGTAAGACCGAACAGGGTATAGGATTACAGCCTGTGTTGGATGGGGTCGCACTCCCCCTGAAGACACAGGTTCGCAGTTTGGGTGTGATCCTGGACTCATCGCTGAGCCTGGAACCCCAGGTTTCGGCGGTGACCAGGGTAGCATTCGCACAATTAAAACTTGTGCGCCAACTGCGACCATACCTTGGGAAGTCCGACTTAGCCATGGTAGTCCATGCTCTGGTTACATCCCGCCTTGATTACTGCAACGCT